TAATGTTGACTGATTGACAACAATTTAATGCGAAAATTGTTTAGAAATATTTTATATAACTGTTTTTGTTAACATTTTTTTGTTTTTTTAGTGCAATTATTTTTGCTCCTTTCTACCAATTCTTGAGAATGAAATTAAATGTCTTTCCGAACCTTGTTGGAACAAAATAGCATATACAACATGTTTTTAGACCTATAGTTATACAAAGGAATTTTTGGTTCATTAAGTTAAAGTGCTCTTCAACCATTCAATGAGATGCTTAGCTTTTACTGTTCTTGATTAGTTATCACTTCTTAGGTATATGTATTTCTATAGCTTTACCTATGACACTTTGTGCATGTGCTAGTCCAGTAACATTAAAAAATGGCATATATATTTGTGTAGTAAGTTTCTTGTGTTCTATTGTAAGTTTCATGTCGAGAAATGTTGCTTCGCTGTTGTTTGCATTTTCTTTGTTCAGTTTGAGTTCAGGAGGACGGATGGACGGACAGACAGAGGGCTTCACTATATCCCTACCGACCTTCGTTCGTTGGGATAATTATTCATGTATACTGGAAAAATTGTTCATATTATTAAGCTTACGCTGTTTTCTCTCACAAGCACAGTCTTTTGTTCCAGTTAATTGGATCTTCAGGGCATCCATCTTCTTGCTATTTTGGCCAATCTTTTGTTCAAGCTGATCCATCTTTTTTGCCATTTTTCCAAATTCCTCCTCCAGCCATAGTAAAATTGTTTCCTCATGTTTTTTTATATCAGACACTTCACACTTTCTTCCTCCATATACATAATCTAGACTTGCTATGATACTGATGACAGTGATTTGAGTAAGCTGTCTCATGATGAAGTAGATCCTAAAGAAAGTGTTTGAGCTGTAATGTCTTGAATATTAACCACTATAGCTGTGTACACTTGCTGCCTCACACGTATGTCTCATTAGATATAATTTGAAATGTTTCTCTGCATGTATATTGGTGTTGTTGTTTACTTTGTGTAACTATCATAAAATATGATCAGCAAACATAAGGCTCAATACTTAAACCAAAGAAATAAAAATAACAACCAACAAACAAAATCAATCAAAAGGAAAATCAACAAAAATGAAACTAATATTACACTATTTGTAATGCCTCACTAAAGATATTCATTGCGTAGGCTATTTAATTTAAAATGAAAAACAATAGACTACAAGTTATCTCTTTCATCATTTTTGACTTTTCAGTGGCCTCTATGGACACCATCTTCAGAAAATGTTGCTATACTTAATTTACATGTACTTCTTAAATACTTTTTATCACCCTTTGACGATTATGCTTTCATATTTTGCTCACAATTATATTGCTTGCGATATCCATATTTTCACACCGAATATTTCAAATTATTTGCAAAAATTCTGACAAAGGGGCATACATTTTTGAGAATTTATCAATTTCTATATCATCTTAAAGGGACAAAGAGCGGAAATTAAGTCTCACTTTTGATCTTCATAGTATTTTCAATGGATTAATAAGTACCTGATCTTTCATTTGACACCAAAAACAGCTCAAACAGACCACATCAGAGTTAACACTAGATCATTTTTGATAGGATTTTCAACCATACGCCATCTTTTAGTCCAAGAGTTATTTAAAAACATACACTTTGTGAAAAGTGGTAATTCACTTATTTTGATCTCTGAAATTCAAATGCTGTTTTCTTCTATGTGAGTAATTCTTTTTCACTTCAGTATTGACCCAAATTAAAGTTTTTATCATATTTGATTTACTGTGTGAGTGACATGTCTCAAATATTATTTTGTCCTTTTTCCTTCAAAAATAAGCGCATTGCCTGTATTAAAATTCCTCCCAGATATCACAAATCACTTTGTAGTTTTATAGGGATTGTAAAACATATTTATTATTTATATTTACTACAAACTCTTAGACTTACGACTTACTGGGTGTCAAGAAATTTTTGAAATGTATTTTTAAAATAAAATAATAATGTTTCATAACTTTTTTGTCTAAAGAAATTCTGATTTGTTTTTTCCCACATTAAAACTATATACAGCCCATTTTGCAAGGAGTTTCAGATGACTAGCTTACTTAGATGAATATTTAAAATCTGTTTAATATCTAAAAAAATGTTTCAATTTAACATTGCTCTCAATGGGAAATTATTTTTATTTTTCAAAACAAGCCTCACAGACACGATTTTAGGATGAAAACTCCAAAATGGCACCTTAACATTTACCAAGAATGCCGAAAAACTAATCAGTTCTAAACTTTTATAGGTAGAAATATCCTTGAGAATTTCAAATGAATCCCTCAAACGGTTTGGCTGGAAACCTGTAGACAAGCCTTGACAGACAAGATTTTAGGACGGAAAATCCAAAATGGCCAGTTAGAAACATCCCTGAGAATTTCAAATGAATCCCTCAAACCGTTTGGCTGGAAACCTGTAGACAAGCCTTGACAGACAAGATTTCAAGACGGAAAATCCAAAATGGCCGTCTTAACATTTACCCAGAATGCTGAAAAACTAATCAGTTCTAAACTTTTATAGGTAGAAACATCCCTGAGAATTTCAAATGAATCCCTCAAACGGTTTGGCTGGAAACCTGTAGACAAGCCTTGACAGACAAGATTTTAAGATGGAAAATCCAAAATGGCCGCCTTAACATTTACCCAGAATGCCGAAAAACTAATCAGTTCTAAACTTTCATAGGTAGGGGGGCGCTTAACTTTTTTATCAGGTAGTTGTTTCACTACTTAGGGGAGGCATCAAAAGTTTGATGTTGGATTGGAAACTAAATAAATCTAGTTTTGACTCTGACCCCCCTCCCCTCCCCCCCAAAACTAAATACCATGAAAGTTGATCGCTGACTTCCGGTTTGAGAATTTGAAAAATTATTGCTAAACCAGTCTAATTTTCGTTCATTCCTATCATAATTTGCGGCTTTTAACAACTATTGATAGAATAGCATCCTTTGGAATGATCTTGACAAAGAAAGTATCAGGTAAAATCTTTATTTTTAAACCATTCCAAGGCATTCTGAGTCAAAATTGCCAAAAATTTGAAATGTTGAAATTTATCGGATAGCAAACTAAAATGGGTTTGAACCCCCTCCCCGCTAACTAGATTTATTTAGTTTTCTATCCGACATCGAACTTTTGATGCCTCCCCTTAGTGAATTTTCCAGGTAGCTATTTGAGAGAAGCAAGTAGTGATGATTTTGATGAGAGTGATCCTTATTCTTATGACTTACCAGTGCAATAATTAGATATTACACTGTATAACATACTTACCCGGATATTACTATGATTCACTGTGATGATTTGCATATCCATTTCATTGATAGTAAAACTGAAGTCGATTATGATTGCTCTGCTTTCGTTCAATTGTAAAAGTTGTGAGTCAGTTCAAACAAGAAACAACAAAGATCAGCTGATCGACAAGTCAATCGAATCCATGCATTTTCGCATGGAGAGTAATTAGCTGAGGGGCTAGTGAAGTTAGCTAACTGGAGGAAATAACAAGTAGTGTTTTGAGTAAAACAGGTAGCAAATTGCTACCTTAGCAATGCTAATTTCGAGGCCTGGGGGGGGGGGGTCACTGTATATAAAACTTGATGGAGATCCTCGGCACACATGGGGTACCTTTTTTGACATTTGGTATATGGTAATGGACCTAAATTTTAGGATCTGGTATGAGAATGCCCCCTCATTATGACTTTTGAGGTATGGCATGGTCAGATTTTTCCACTTTCTGGTATGCGAATGGTCATGTTATCTCACATTTATGGTATGGCATTGGTCTAGTAGTTACACATATATTTGAGGTTGTTTTGGTATGTTTTCTTCAAAGATCGCCTTCTTCTTGGGAAGTACCTTCTTCAGTTTAAATAAATTTTTCATGGGAAATATTCTACTTTTGCCCAGTCATAGTATTGGTATGGCATTGGTCCTAGTATGTATCCGACAGACTGAATATAATATTCGGTCTATTATGATTGATACCCTTCGTAAGGAAATCTTGGCGATATGTTATGCACATAAATTTCTTGTTTATTACAAGAATGTTCACCTTGAAAATTGGTGAATATGTTGAAGAGATGTTCATCTTAAACTAGAAGCAAAAATATTTGTATGAGGCGGGTACAAGTTGATATAAAATAATGAAATGTTCAGACTCGTCAAAACTTCAGGATGTGTTCATAAGTAGGTCACGAAATCAATGTCAATGACGTTTGAGTTCACGAGATCAAAACGAGATATGCAAATTTTTGAACTTTGACTTTTAACTTCAAACACAGGACCACTTGATTACCTCAGCCTTCTTCATGAATATTCCCGCTCTATTTACTATAAATGACGAAAATCAATCGGGATAATGATAATGATTGACTAATAAATTCTCTGTCCGCTCCATGTGTTATTTGTTTACAAATAGACTGACATCACTGGTTAAATCTTGTTTATCGTGAGAATTGGAATTGCCAAAATGGCTTGACCTAATCAATGCCTTCGCTACAAGAAGCGTCTGTATATTTTATGAATATCTTCAGTAAGACTAGAGGACAATATACATTTGGTATTGCATTGGTCTCATATTTGGTATGGCTTTTGGGCAATATATCGGTTGGTATAGGAACCAATCCAAATTTGACATTTTGGAATGGGAATATATCGATATCTGAGGGTTCAGCCTAGGACCCCGCCGAATTTTGTACATAGTGAACCCCAGGGTCAGGCATAAGTCTTACGATAGATAGCATGTGATATTGTGAGTGTATGCAAGATTCTAAAGTACAACAATGTACTGCAATGACAATCCATGCAATAAATACAATTTAAATATCCTGTTCAAATTGAAAATGAAAATGATCTCATGATAAGTTCATAAATTCGAATCTGGATTCCAAATTTCTGAGGGGATTCCCCAAGGAATTCCCAATAAAGACATGTAAAACAATTGTATATTAGTAATTTAAACTATTACATAATATATTATGGGTTACTTACCAAAATTTCGAATCGATACAACTGCCCAAATGACCCGAATTCTTCAAATTTATTCTGCAAATTCTCCCGTAACTTTTTCCTGGTCCATATTTGTTTTCGCTATGAATTGTGGGATCGCAAGTGTTCTCAAAAATAAATAAATCAAATCATTCAACGAATTCCCTCTTTTCAGACATATAATTGATCTCTAAATATTCCCAGCCATCTAATCTAACATTTGAAAGCAAATTTCGACAAATTATATTAGTAGAAAGGATGGAATAATGTATTTCTCAGAAGGGTCTTGGAGTCGTGACGTCATTAATTAGGGACCCAATACAAAGTTATTGTGAAGAAGATTATTGAAATCGATCAATAAATATCCCGATTTTGCCACAATGGAGACCTCCAAAATACAGGTAAATATTATCATAATTTAGAGTAAACTTTTAGCCACATTTTGATATATTGATTGCAACATAAAAGTTTGAAATGATGATTTTATAGCGTGTTTTTATTGGCAAATATTTTGGCTGAGATTTGTAGCACATAACCTGACCTCTCTTCACACACCCCATCATGGCTGTATTAAATTACAACTTTGGCATTTAAATTTCTTTCTTTTTCAGTTTGTTGGTAAATCCTGTGGTAAACATGGTCAATATACATTTTTCAAAGCCTTGAAATACTCCAGAGGAGAAAAATATAGAATTGTGTCTTTGGGGGAATTTTTCTTCCTAAAAGTGTCTGACAATTCTGGAGTCGGCATTGGTGAGTTACAACTTTTGTGGGAGGAGAAAGGTCAACCAATACCCCTAGTGAGTGTACGCTTGTACTTCCTTCCCGAGAATACACCTGATGGTCGTCACAAAGATCATGGAAAGGTAACAATTAATTAATCTTTAATTACTTCAAATTTAACTTGTTGATTAAATTCTTCAGTTATTTACACTAAGTGGCCTATTTTCAGGTCATATGTACTAACACCTTCTCTTCCGCTTATATCTTTTAATTTTGTATTATTTTTAGGGCTTTATGATATTTACAAATACATCACTTTGATTATTTTATTTGGATTTCAAAATGTATATTTAACATGCTGTTCTTGAAAGACAGATAACTCAAGGCTCTGCACGGTTTGAGCTGTGTTATCAATTAATCAATGCAGAGTTTAACACAGGATATCATCTTTCCCCTAACTCAGGCCACATTTTAATGATAACAGCATGAGTGTATTACAATTCCCAGATACACATTCAGAAAGTAAATAAGTTAATCTTTTTATATAAAATATTGGAGTGAATAACACAATACATAGGGTTATTTATGCAAATGCTTCTATTGTAAGCCAATCTATACACTTCATAAATCCTATTTAAACACGACCTCAAAAGTTGGCCGATTTTATATTACAACCCAAAAGTAAAATTATACATAAAATTGGACTGCACAAAGAAACATATATGGTATATCATGGGATATTAAAACGTCATAAATGATTTATTTTTACTTTCGAAGTACACAAATCCCTTTAGAATAACCAACATATTTAATATGGATTTGATTCTTTGTTATACATATTGCAATCATTACATAAATATAGAAATGTAGACAATCAATTATCAGAAATAATTAGGCTTGTTACATAAGCATTGATTATTGGATTTCATCTTAGTGTTGCGATCACATTTTATGCCTAAATAAAGACTTTATATGATGAACCAAATGTTCATAGTAATTAAATTTATCTAAACACAAGTAATTTATATATATCCAAAAGTAAATTATCAGGGTTCTTTTATCTACTTTGTACAATTTTTCAAACATGTTAACCATATTTTATCATTAACATCATATGACTGTTTACTAACAGTAAGAGACTCACTGTTCAATATCAGTACATAAATGATATGGGATGCCTCTTATGAAGGTTTAATGGTTTGAAGCACATAGACATTTACTAGAAAATAGTCATAATACACTGCATCAAAATATTAACTGCACAATACATATTTTATCAATAACAATCGTTAGATTTTAAAATAAACACATTTTTATGTACTTCCGTTACTTTACAATAATCAAAACCTGATCTTGTTTAATCTATATTTGACTGAATATCAAATCAGGAATCTAATTTTAGATCAAATCATCTGTATGCCTGAAGATATTATAGAAATTACTGAATGCATTGGGAAAATTGATTTTACCTTTCTATTGAAACACATGTTACAGGCATACGCAAATCATAGTATCTGATAATATTAATTCTAAACGGTGTCATAAACAATAGATAGATATTGGGTTTAATAAATATAACTTTTGATTTTGTTCTGGGAAGGGAAGCTGAAATTGGCGTGAATCTCTTTTTAACAAGAATGTTAATGTTTAAAGAGCCATAGTACCAGGCCTGCACTTTGTACATACTACTTTTGTGTATACATACTGAATATGTGTAATACATTCTGTTGGTTAAAGTAAAGCATCGTTATAAGGTCACAGTATGGTATAAAACCACTTGATATATAAGATTGAGAAACAATTTCTGAATGCACACAGATGAAGAATTAATCTTATATTATTGTAAATTTTACAATATGGCTCCAAAAGTCGAGTTACTCAATTAACTATGAAATATATAATTTTTTTGTTATGTATGGCTTAACTGTCACAGTTCTGTTATGATGTTAATTAAAAACGTTGAAGTCAATATTGATGCTATTAGAACCAAATTAATGTAAAAATTAAAACATCCTGGTTTTAGAAAAAGGATAAAGTTATTCAATTAGGCTATCCATTTTTATTTTGTACTAATTAATCTTAGTTCTGTTTGCAATGCATAATGGCAGCCTTACATCTGCAAGTAACTACCCTTTTATCAAATTTCATTGTAATTAATTTCATTTTGCTTTAACTATAGTAAAAATAGAGGAATTTAATATTAGAGTATGAAATGATGAAGTCAATCTGATTGATCCAAGAATAGTGAGGGCTGTGTAATTCTTTGGTAGGGTAATTAGCATCTTTGTACCTTTCAAAAATGTTGGTGATTTATTTTATTAATTCAATTTGAATTTATTTATTTATTTAGAATTTATCTCCATTTCACTTTATTTAATATGTATGTATGTAGGATAGTATTATTGAATTTTTTTGATATATTTTAAGTTAAAATATAAAATTTAAGATTGGGTTAGTGGAAGTTATGTACCCTTCTTCCATATGCATGAAAGTCAATACTTGGTCATCAACATAATTTATAATAGATCAGAAAATACAGTTTTATCAAAAACTACAAATTATTAGGTAATAAAATGAAGTTTTTTCATCATTCAAATATTTAGTTAAATAAATGATTAAAAATTTATCTCAATATTTTAATACTTCATACATAATCTAATAGAAAAAATTCAAGATAGGTTATTTGTTCAATTTTATTAAAATGTATTTATGCCCAAATCAAAAGCAAGCCTTCATATATTCTCAATTTGAAAGCGCTATAGTAAATATTCAAAGTTAAAGTGTGTTTTTCATATCTGCAACCCTGTTTAACCATTAGCCTTTAAGAAGCCATATTTGGGCTAGAGAAACAGTGTAATATATTGTCAATGTAATTTGTAATATAATATAAACTGGCATATACAGAGACCTTAACAGTTAAAGATAAATTATTAATGTAACTCACTGTTTAAAATATACATGATTTTCACCCTAACAATTACAGGGATATTCCTCATTATGTTGGAACTAAACACAAGAGTCATAAGGAATGATTGTCTAAATTTATATATTTATTAAATATAGCCAATCAAGTACCTCTTTGCTACCATCTGTTTTTATCCACATATCTAAGCATGATTATAGTAGAATGTCACCATTTAATATACATATTGGAAAATATCCAGCTGATTTGCTTTTATTATTAACATACTCCTTTATATGGAATATTATGCAACTATTCATAAAATACATTGAGTATGAAACAAACAAAAAACAAACAATATGTCAATAGTAGTAAATCATAAAGCTGGTATTTAATTTATATAGTTTTAAAGAACTTGAAATATGGAAATAAGCTTGACCAAATATGGTGTTTTACACACATGTTATATTTCTGAATATATTGAACACTGTCTAAGTCGCATGATACCATTCTCCCTAATGATAATGTCCAGTTATAATGATTGAAGATGAAGATTAGCAAAAAACTCCCAAACACAGGCCTGTCAACTGTCCCGCAATTTGCGTATTTGTCACGCATTTGCTGAAGAATTTGAAGTCACGCCAGTTTTTTTTGCGTGACAGAAAATGTCACGCAAATACGCATTTTACCTGGTAATTGTCACGCAAAAATATTTCTGTAGAATTTTTTTCGAAATATGTTTATGATACGGTAAAAATACGAGCGTCGGAAAAAAACCGAACGCAATTTGTTCGGATTTGTCACGCGAATCCCGTATATGTCACGCATGTTCATTGGAAATTTTCGTACCTCCCCCCCCCCCCCCCCCCCCCCCCCCCCCCCCCCCCCCCCCCCCCCCCCGTTGACGACATAGCGAGCGTAGCGAGCGCGAAAAATTTGAGGTGCTCAAAGTTTGGCAAAGGTGCTCAAAGTTTGGCCAAAGGTGTTTAAAAGTTGGCCAAAGGTGTTCAAAATTTGGACAAAAGTGTTCAGATTTGGACTTAGGTGTCCAACATTTTGAAGTCACTCATATTAGGTGGTCCCAAGTTGACAGCCCTGCAAACAGGCAAGAAATACTGGAAAATCTAGAAATCACAGTGAAGACAACTAAAAAACTATGACCTGCTGAATAGCATGTTTAGTTGTTATGGTTAAATGGTGCTTTATTATTTAAACAGCTTCCTGATATTTGTTTAGTTGTAAAGGGATCTTAAGATGCTAGAGACAAAAAAGAAAATCTGATATTCATATGAAATATGTTATTGAGAAAAGCAGAAATCACTTTACACGATCCTTTCTATTATAAATCCCTGGAATAGTGAATGCAGCTATGAGCAACCAGTCATCTCCGGTAAATTACTAAATACAATCAAGGTCATATTTTATATTGTAAAAAGGGAAGAAAACAGTGAAAAAGGCAAGGACTAGCATATACAGCTGTGTAGTACATGATTCAAATGATACAGAAATAGCAGAAAATCAAGCACTTCATCCATGTTTTAGAGAGAATGGCATGAAATACAGTTGAATCAGACAACATTTTAAACATTGGTTTGGGCATCTATTCTAAGTGTTCTCAGTAATACAGAAGTTACTGGTGTCCTCCCAGAAATTAAATGAAATAAGGATTTTCTTTAGAATGGTTAAGCAAAGAATGAATAAAAAATCAAGATGTTATGATAATGATAACAGGTGTATCTGCATTGATATTAAAAGGAGTCACCTAATTGAAACACTTGAGAAAAAGGTGAAGTATGGCAACATATTAGAATTATTTGTGTATTATTGTGTAATTCACACAATTCCTCTCTTACATGACATTTCTTTTCCAATTTCCATGACATACGTTTATTAACTAAACAAGTTGGAAAGTGATTTATTACACTAGTATGAATTACAGGGCTGTCAACTTGGGACCACCTAATATGAGTGACTTCAAAATGTTGGACACCTAAGTCCAAATCTGAACACTTTTGTCCAAATTTTGAACACCTTTGGCCAACTTTTAAACACCTTTGGCCAAAGTTTGAGCACCTTTACCAAACTTTGAACACCTCAAATTTTTCGCGCTCGCTACGCTCGCGATGTCGTCAACGGGGGGGGGGGGGGGGGGGGGGGGGGGGGGGGAGGTACGAAAAATTTCCAATGAACATGCGTCACACATACGGGATTCGCGTGACAAATCCGAACAAATTGCGTTCG